CATGAAGTGAAATGTGCTTTGGTAGTTCCTCTGCGCCATGTGCTCTCAGCGTTTGTCACATAAATGGATGTGGGGCTGGGGATGTTCCTGACATTTGTAAATTGGACTGGTTTAAGGCAGGAAAACCCCAGAATGTTCCAAATCAGTATAGACAAAGAACAAAATACACCATGGACATATTCACTGAGATGTCCTGCAAAACAGTGCTCTTAATTCTTAAAAATGAAGAATTTAGTAAGGAATTAAGTGGACAGTGAGGAATTGCTGAATTGCTGAGATTGTCAGGGCTAGTGGCCCATCCTCTGGCCACAAAACCCCTGGGACTGTGACCTGAAATGCARTCAAGAATCTGAATTTTTGCATTTCTGCATTCCCACGAGGGGCTTGTGGGKTCCCAGTGAGGATGGGATCCAGCCCTGAGGTTGTGGTGTTCGTGCAAGGGCTGTCTGATCCACTCTGTCCCATTGCATGGATCCCAGGACATTGATTTATTGTCCCACTGACAGCTTGCAGGCTGGGTCCCAAACTGGATTCTAGGCTGAGTCCCAAGCTGGGTTCCAAGCTGGGTTCCAAGCTGGGTTCCAAGCTGGGTTCTAAGCTGGATTCAGGTTTAGCAGGTGATGAATAATCTCAGCTCATCCAGGCAGACTCATCCAGAGGAGAGAGGGGTGAACGGCCTCATTACACCTCCAGCCTCGCTTTGCCTGGTTGGTAACTCTGCTCAAGGGATTCGGGAGGTGTCAACTTGGCCAGTCCAAGTCGTGCCTGGTGGTTTTGGTGCCTTTTCCCTACTCCCTGAACATGTCCCACCTTTTCCCAGCAGTGCAGGACGCTGCCAGTGCCTCCCTCAGCCATGTGGGTATATATAAATATATCCCTTGTGATGTATATAAATATACATATATACATATATAAATAAGCATATAGCTAAAGATAAATATATAAATATGTATCTCCTTCCATGGCAGCCTTGGTGAGAGGCTGATGAAGGTGATCATTCATCAGGGACTGTAGTGACAGCACAASGAGCAATGGGCTCCAACTGACACAGGGGAAATTCAGCTTTGGAATATGGAAGAAATCCTTCCCTGTAGGGTGGGCAGCCCTGGCACAGGGTGCCCAGAGAAGCTGTGGCTGCCCCTGGATCCCTTTGAGTGCCCAAGGCCAGGCTGGACATTGGGGCTGGGAGCAGCCTGGGACAGTGGGAGGTGTCCCTGCCATGGCAGGGGTGGCACTGAGTGGGATTTGGGGTCAAAACTTCCAACCCGAACCATTCTCAGATTTTGATTTCTTTCTCACATGAAATTTGCTCCACAATCTTTGAGGAACTGCATTCCTGCGTTGTTCTATTCAGCAAAGCTGCTGTTTTCCACAAGCCRTGAACGCTCAGATGCACAAATATCAGTGCTCCATCAGTTACCATTTTTGAAATGCTTTTGTCCCATTTTTTCAGCTTTCTGGAGCGATTGCCTGTCGCTGGCAGGAGGCGGCGGGGTGAGGGAATGGTAACGGTGCCTTTGGCCGGGGGCTCGCAGCCGCAGACAGCCGCGGGCAT